AAGACAAAAAACAAACCTGTATATTAGTGATGCCATATGAAATCCAATTATAATTCGCTTTACTCGGTCGGCCTGTTGTTTTTTTTTTTGGTCTATAGAATCGATGGATGGCCGCAATTGCAAACAGACCAAACTCTTATCACCGCGGAGACGCTTGGACCACCGCTTATCCAAAAAAATTTCCAGCGCTTCAAGACCATCTTCTCTCACGACACACCGCCATAATGCCTCGTGAACAACAAAAAAGAGGCCGCAGGGCCGAGAAGAAAGCCCAAAAAGAGGACTCCAAGAGAAAGTTCGAGGAAACCCCCGAAGATCCCGTCGCGAAGCGGATGAAGCCCTCTGCCGACGACACCAACGAGACCAACGAGGCCAACGATGATATCCAAATTGCCGGAAATGAGGACTACATTCCCCTTGACCAGGGCGAAGAGCAGGAAGGTCAGCGACCTGATGAGGATGGAGACATGCCTTTCTACGGTCTTCTAGACGAGGAGGAGTCAGAATACTTCCAGCGCGCCAACGAAATGCTGGAGCTGAACCAGTTCCAGGACGCCGAAGAGCGCAGCTTGTTTGTCGACAGTGTTTACACTGAAGCTAGTGGCAAGGAGTTGAAGATTGCCTGCAGTCAGGGCTGTTCGCGACTCATGGAGAAATTGATCTCAATGTCCGACGCTCGACAATTGCGCCGGATATTCAGCAAATTCATCGGCCACTTCCTCCACCTAGTGCAGCATCGTTTTGCGAGTCATTGCTGTGAGACGCTTTTCATTCACGCTGCGCCTGCCGTGATGCAAAAGGTGAAACCTCAGCCCAAAAAGTCAGACGAAGAAGGAGAGGAAGAGCCGGAGCTATCGATCGCAGAAATGTTCATGGCTGTTATTGAGGAATTGAAGGAAAATTGGGGATACCTGTTGACGGAGCGCTTTGCGTCGCATACAATCCGAGTGCTACTGCTGGTTCTTGCGGGCGAGCCAGTGGATGTCACGTCAAATGAGTCGTTTGTCGCAAGTCGCAAGAAGGAAAGAATTGAGATCCCGACGGTCCAGGGCGAGGAGAAGGCAGGAAAATCCAAAGCCGAGAAACATACTGTTCCAGAGACATTCGAGCCGGCACTAAAGAAGATCATGACCGATATGGTTGCCGGTCTCGACGATGTTTATCTCCGAGCTCTAGCTACGCACCCAGTTGGAAACCCCGTACTTCAGGTATTGTTGTTCTTGGAACTTTCGCATTTTGGAAAGTCTAGCGCCAAAGATCCTAAGTCGACCATCCGGAGACTGGTTCCCGATGAGACGTTTGAGGAGGATTCCGAAAGCGCGGTTTTCATTCGTGGTCTCCTCTACGATCCAGTGGGTTCTCGCCTGCTAGAGACGATGGTGCGATACCTTCCTGGTAAATCTTTTAAAAACCTTTACAAGAACAACTTGGGTGACCGAATTGGTTCCCTTTCTCGCAATAGCACTGCTGGATATGTTGTTCTTCGGATGCTCGAAAGACTCGGCAAGGATGACTTGAAGATCGCCATGACCAACATCATCCCCGAAATTCCGGGCCTAATTGAACGGTCAAGACTGATTGTCCCCAAAATGTTGATCGAGCGGTGTGTGGTCCGTGGCGTCGACACAAAGCCTCTCGCCGAAGCACTCGAGGGTGCTTATAGCCAGGACCCTGTTGTCAGACTGCAGCAGATGCTCAAGTTCAACATCTCGGAGAACACAGCCCCGGAACCTGAAGACCATGATATGGACGAGGACAACGATGGAAAGGACCGCAAGCCACGGGGCCCACCCCCAGTATCTGCGGCGGAGAAAGCCGAGAAACTGCATGGCTCTCTGTTAGTACAGGCCATGTTGACCGTTCCTGGCCCGCTGAGCCAACTTGTCTACACGAGTCTCCTCGCCCAATCATCCGAAACCATCGTACAACTTGCCCAAGAACCTACCTCTTCCCGCGTTCTCCAACAGGCTCTGACTTCCACAACCTCCACGCCTCAAATCCGGCGACAACTCACCACCCGTTTCCAGGGTCATCTCACACCTCTTGCCTTGAGCAGCAGCGGGTCACACGTAGTGGATGCGCTTTGGACTGCAACCAAGGACATCTTCTTTGTCAAGGAGCGCATGGCGCAAGAACTCGAGCAGCATGAACAGGAGCTCCGTGACTCCTTTGTTGGTCGTGCAGTCTGGCGAAACTGGTCAATGGATCTCTTCAAGCGCCGCCGACGCGATTGGACTCACAAGGCCAAGGGCTTTGAGGAGCGAACCGAGGCCAGTGAAGGTGCCGAACGTCCCAAGTCTAAACTAGAACAGGCCCGGGCCCGCTATGCGGCAGCTAAGGAAGCAGCCGATGCTGGTGCTACTGGTGCAAACCAGACTGCGGTGGCTAGCAGATGAAGTGGTACAGTGATAAAAATTTTATATTAGACGAAATGAACATGTACTCATAAAAAGGCGTTGATGTATTCAATTGTTTCATTGCTTTATATCTATTTTCATAGCTTTCTTATGAATCGATATTATATTTCAAAACATATCAGAGATATCTTAGAAAATTGATAAATTGTATATAGTTCATCGACCACAATACCGTGAGGGTATTCGGGTTCCTGCAGATCAGCCCGAATCTTAATATCCTTGTCTGCATATGATATATGCAAGGAATCTACGGAGTAGTCAATCGGAAGTATACAAAACTAGTTACATGAAAATCCGACTCAAAAACATTATTCTAGCTGAGTATAGATCATCGCATGAGGGCTTAAGGTACGGATGATGTCAGGCTCTGCGGGATTGTCGCCATTTCCGTGGTCGCCGGTAAACTTTTCTTTCTTTTCAATTGCGTCTTCTGTCCTCTTTTTCTTTTTTGTTTCTTCTGTATAGAATTTGCACTGTCTCTCCTTATATTTGCATATACTAGAACGTGAGAATCTGTACAAATGTCTGGCATTGCGCAGCCCAATCGCGCTGATGAAGTGCAAAGTGTGAGTCAACTCTATATCGCAATGATCTACACCCCACCAGATTCTTTATTCGATGTTCTGAAACTAATGCGAGCACCATGCTCAGCTTCTGAAAGCAGTGGAAGACCTTCTCATCCCCTTTATCCGATCCGCAGACGAGGACCCCCGCGGGCCCTTGACACAGAAAAATGGCACCAACGGCACCAATGGACACACTGGACTCGTTGGAACCTCATTGATAGATTATAAGAAGCCCGAAGAGCTGCAGGATATTCTTCAGCTTGAGATCCCAGAGAAAGGCACCAAGCAGGAAGGTCTCATTGAAGTCTTGAAAAAGGTTCTGCAATACTCGGTCAACACCTGGCACCAGGGATTTTTGGACAAGCTGTATGCGTCAACCAATGCGCCCGGCGTGGCAGCAGAGCTCATACTTGCTACCTTGAACACCAACGTACACGTCTACCAAGTGTCCCCTGCGCTGACGGTCATTGAGAAATATACCGGCCAGCGGTTGGCGAACCTCTTCGGGCTGAACGGTCCACAGGCAGGAGGTATTTCCGTGCAGGGCGGATCCGCATCGAACACCACCTCCATTGTCATCGCGCGAAACAACCTATACCCCAGTACGAAGACAGACGGGAACGGCGGGTACAAGTTCGTGCTCTTCACGAGCGCGCACGGCCACTACAGCGTGGAAAAGGCAGCGCAGATGCTCGGATTCGGCAGCAGTGCCGTCTGGCCTGTTCCTGTTGACAAGGTCGGCCGCATGATCCCAGCTGAGCTTGAGAAACTGGTTCAGAAGGCACAGAGCGAAGGCCGGACGCCGTTCTATGTCAATGCCACCGCAGGCACAACCGTCCTAGGCTCTTTCGACCCCTTCAACGAAATCGCAGCCATTTGCGAAAAATACAACATGTGGTTCCACATTGACGGGTCCTGGGGTGGCTCGTTCGTCTTCTCCCAGCGTCAGAAGCATAAGCTAGCCGGCGCAGAAAAAGCAAACAGCATCGGCATTAATCCGCACAAAATGCTTGGCGTTCCGGTCACCTGCTCTTACCTGCTGGCCTCGGATATACGCCAGTTCCACAAGGCCAACACACTTCCCGCGGGGTACCTATTCCACAGCGAAGAAGACGAGCCCGCTATCAACGGCGACGCAGACAAAGGATCCGAGTTAGAAGTCGACTCACCGGAAGTGTGGGATCTGGCAGACCTCACTCTCCAATGTGGTCGACGTGCGGATTCGTTGAAGCTGTTTTTGGGTTGGACATACTATGGAAATGAGGGCTACCGACAGCAGATCGACTCGGCATGCGACATCGCTGCGCACTTGGCTAATACCATCGCGCAACATCCTGATTTCGTTCTCATTAGCGAAAACCCCCCGCCCTGTCTACAGGTGTGCTTTTACTACGCGCCAGGCAAGAAGTTCGTGTACCCGCGTGGCATTGTCTCGAATGAGACACAGCGCGGGAAGAATAACAGCAAGGTCACTGAGCAGGTGACGCGTGCAATCGTGCCCAAGGGCTTCATGGTGGACTTTGCGCCTCCCAGTGGGGAGGAGGACGAGGATGCGGCTGGGAATGGGAAGTTCTTCCGGTGCGTGGTGAATGTCCAGACGACAAAGGAGACCGTCGATTCGCTTATCCGCGCCATCGAAGAGGTGGGCCCTGGTATTATTAAGTCTTTGAAAGCGAGCAACCCGGCCCTTCCGCACAAGCGGCCTGGTGAGCGTGGACATGGGCCTGTTGTCCATCGCGCTTGAGCAGGTGCGTGATTTGTTTTCTTCTGATTTACTTGGTATATAAAGTAGAGCATGTAGACATGAGAGACGGGATACGACATACAAGAGATCTGGTGAAATATATAAAGCTGTGTATCAATTTGACACCCTAAGAACAAGATGAGCGAATATCTCGGAGCTCAAGATGTGGGGGATGTAGAGCAGTCGGCGTAGTTTCTAACTATACCTACCTGGACAGTAGTAATAAATTTTGTGCAAGGAGAATAGCTTGGGTATAGAATGATATCAAAGCCATCAATTGCCAATCTCGACCCTTCGTTCCAACACGGACCGAGCCTCAGCTTCCGATAGAGAGTCAATCTCTAATTCAGCAAGCACAGCCCGTGCACTCTCATTGTCCCTGAACAACCTCTTTTCCACATCCCATAGCCTTAAAGGCACGTCTTCCTTTGTAGAGACGTCCCCCTCTTGCTTAGCTGTACTCAAGCAAAGTATACGCAGTCCCTCGTTGAGCTTTTTGATGGTTCGCAATGAGATCTCCACCTGACTAGATGCACCGAGCGCAGAATCCACAACGTGACAGAGATAGTCGACATCGCTTGCAAGCTGGGTCGCTCCAGTCTCGGAAAAGGTATGTTTGGTCAGGACGCTGTCCCAGATATAGCTCTGGATAGATAACAGGAGCTGGCGCGAGACTCGTCGTAGAGGTGCAGTTCCCAGCGCCCGAGAGAGGAAGGAGAGTTGCGCGGACAAGACACGCATTGCAGGGGCGAGATCGGAAGTGGGTGGGAGGGAGATGCTGTCGCTGTGGCAGAAGGGGGTGACAGCGTTGCCCACGTAGATACACGAGAGTAGGGCTTCAGAGCCGCGAGGATATTGGAGGACAAGGTGGATGTGATGATAGTTTCCGAGCGAAGTCGGAGACGACGGTAGGCGGATGCCGTCTCATCGAAGAGAGCACCATCGGATGAGGTCGCGGTGTGGCCGCCGTTGTTGTTATTGGCCACTGCGGGTGATGTACGCGACGCTACCTCTGCGACAGACATAGTACCAGCTACGCTGCGACCGTTGTCTCGGTTTTGTTGAACCCGATCTTGGAGCTCGGACCAGAGCTCAACGAAGAACACATCGTTACTCCAATCCTCCATCTTCTTCTCGAGGTATTCGGCACTTCCGAAAACCCTACAAAGCCGCTCCAGTCCGGCGACACCCTCGACGCTAGCTTGCCCATCGGCGCCCTGCACAGTGCGTCCAAGCGTTGACGTCATCGCGAGGTATGCCTCTAGTGCAGAATAGAGGCGCTCATAAAACTGGTCGAAAATCGTGATTTGAATGTCAATGAGAAACCGCAGCTTCTGACTAAAAGAGGACAGTGGCTGGTAGCGATCGGTTATAGTTTCGAGAAGGTCATTCACGCGGATTGCAGCCTTTGTTGGTTTCGTTGCAGTGAGTTCCATGCCATCGTAGTCGATCTCTCCACTGTCCGCGGTGTCGATGATATCTCTGTATCGCGCCAACGCAAAGTCCTTCTCAACCTGAAGCCATCGATCATACCAGCCCTGTTTGGTCAACACTTCCCAGGTTATGCCCTTCCAATTGTCGTCCGCATATGGATCTGGCGTATAGTTCCATGTTTCTCGCATCTCGTTATCGAATTTCATCAGTTCATGAATGAATTGGCTGAGCAATTGGGGGTAGTTTGAGATTTGAGGGAGGAACAGGCTGATCTTCTCTCTCAGCATAGGAAGCAATGCAGTAATGTAACTATGTGATGCATTGTAAAAGTTCCATTCCAGACTTGGACCGACTGCTTCGGCCCTTTCATCAAAGATGGGCTGCAAGTAAGAGACAAAAAACCCGCCGTATTGGTTGACAAGGTCCATTATGTGCGAGAGGAAATATTCCGGCTAGAATCCAAGTTAGACTTCTATTTTGCATAGACCTAGGGACAAGTTACCTTATCCAGTCGGTTTGTTGGCTTGTCTCCACTAAAGTGATATTTGAACCGGAGATCGAGATGATGCACCATAACCTCTAATGGGAATAGGACTGGTGGCTCGAAGCTCAGTCCGGAAGCTAGTGTATCCCGGCTTTGTAGTTCACTAGAAGGAGCTTGTTAGAACATCTCCCAGACATGAAGGGACATATCATACGGTAATTGTAGGTCGATCAACAGTTCAACATCTTGCCTCCACCGGGTCAGGAGCTGGTCGGTGACATTCAGTTCTCTTGTCGGCCATTTCAAATCTTCCAACGTTTTCTGTAGCCGGTCACCAAAGTATTTCTTCATCTGTTGTCTCAATGCAGATGCTAGTTTGTCTGTGTAGTCGACAAGATGGGGGGCCGCTCCTTCGGCAGCAGGCTGGGCATCCTTCAGTAGTCCGACGATGGTTCGTAGTCGGGAATACGGCTTCAAAGCGGCTCGTGGTTCGGATTTAATGTCTTCCAAAGCTTGCTTGCTGTATTGCTGTCTCAGTATGAAGCCCCTCACGAATGATCAATTGGGCACTACCTCAATTCCTCGGCTTCCTTGAGCAACTCCACATATCCCTTGGATAATCTTAGCCGTTGGAGCTTCTCCATGCTCTTTTCCAGACTCCGTACTGCCTCATCACTGGTTTCGGATTGTGTGATGGCCATTAAACGTCGGTCGATGTCCGCTTGCTCCGCGGTGAACGCCTCGGCTTGCTTTCGAGTGGCTTCGGCATGGTCATTAGAGGCTTTTGTCGCATTTGAGAGTGCTTCGCTGGCTTCCGCTAGCTATTTGGTCGCGAGTTTGCATCAGTAGTGTTTAGAAAGAGGGTCATGGCTGTGAGGGGCGGTACCTGCTTCCGCTGAAGCTCCTGTTGCGCGCGTAGACTAGATAGCAGCGAATCTAAACTCTCCAGATCGGCAGAAACCTGAATCTTATCATTTAAATAATCTTCGACTCGAGTCCGCTCATGCGAAGATAATTCCGTGAGGGAGGCCATTGTTGAAGGAGGGAACTTGACCGCGGAAGCGCAAGGTGTCGCGAATGTTGATCTCCGCCTTTTGGACTGACGTCTTCCCCAGTGGCAACCATGAGCTTTTACACTGTCAACACTTTGAATAATGTCCAGTCCAGCCAAGAAGCGAAAAAGAAATGGAGACTCATCGCAGCCGACGCGCAGTATCAAGTCCTTCTTTAAAGGACAGGCCACTGAACAAGCCAATCTACAAGTCCCCGATGTCACTGGGCAAGCTCTCTCTGATGAAGCTCTTGCGCGCAAGCTACAAGCTGAGTGGAATGAGGAGGAAAATGCAAGCGCTCCTACCGATGCGAAAGCAGATCCACAGATCAATCCAGTTCCATCTACATCAGAGTCGCCTGTTTTACCCCCGGTAGTGCCAGTGATACCAAAGAAGAGCACTCTCTCACTACAGTCATCAGCCGGCACGGAGGATACAATATCCCTTTCTATTCCTCTTGATCAAAGCCCCCAGACCTTTGACGCGAGTCAATACGCAGCAGAACTGCGGTCGCACTGGGCAACCGAAGGCGGAGATGCTTCTTACGCCTTGTTAACGAGAGCCTTTATCCTGGCCAATGCAACGACCAGTCGAATAAGGATTGTTGATACGCTGGTCAACTTTCTTCGGGTTCTGATTGAAGCGGATCCATCAAGTGTCCTGCCTGCTGTGTGGCTAGCAACCAATTCTATATCACCTCCATACGATGAATTAGAGCTAGGCCTAGGAGGGTCCTCTATTTCCAAGGCACTAAAAAAGATATACGGCCTCAATAGCCAAGGGCTAAAGACCCTGTACGATAAGCACGGCGATGCAGGGGATGTTGCATTCGAAGCCAAGAAACGACAATCATTCACTCTGGTGAAGCCGAAGCCATTAAGGATCAAGGGAGTATACCAGTCACTGAAGAAAATCGCCACTAGCAAAGGACCTGGTAGTCAAGAAACCAAGCAGAGGATCGTGGAGAAGCTTCTACAGGATGCGCGCGGCGCCGAGGAGAGTCGATACATTGTCCGGACATTGGTCCAGAATCTGCGAATTGGCGCAGTTAAGACGACGATGCTGATTGCTCTCGCACGAGCTGTCTTATATTCCAAGCCTGCCGAGGCAGATTTCGAGGTGCGTCCGTCGCATCAGCTTGCACGCTTGAAGAAGGACGAACTTGCGGAAATCTACAGCAATGCGGAAGAAATCGTCAAGGCGTCGTACGCTAGACATCCTGATTACAATGATTTGGTACCCTGCCTATTAGAGATCGGGCCCACAGAAGAGCTTTTGATCAGATGCGGCCTAAACATGCACATTCCACTAAGGCCTATGCTGGGCAGCATCACACGCGATCTGTCAGAGATGTTGACGAAGCTCCAAGACCGAGACTTCAGCTGCGAGTACAAATATGATGGGCAACGTGCGCAGGTACACTGCGACGAGCAAGGAAAAGTTTCTATCTTCTCGCGTCATCTTGAACTCATGACGGAGAAGTATCCAGATCTTGTGTCTTTGGTTCCGCAAATACGAGGAGAAGGCGTATCCAGTTTTATCCTGGAGGGGGAAGTAGTTGCTGTGGACCGTGAGAATGGCGATCTTAAGCCATTTCAGGTTCTGACCAATCGTGCAAAGAAGAACGTCGAAATTGGAGACATCAAAGTCAATGTCTGTCTGTTCGCTTTCGACCTCATGTATCTCAATGGGGAGCCTTTGCTAGATCGCCCCTTTCGAGAACGCCGCGAACTACTTCGCAGTCTCTTTGTAGAGATCCCACAACACTTCGGCTGGGTGAAGAGCATAGATGCGACATCAGCGGATTCTGAGCCTGTCCTTGAATTCTTCAAATCCGCCCTCGACGTCAAGTGCGAGGGCATCATGGTGAAAATCCTCGACAACCAGCCCAGTGCGAATACCCAAGTGAACAACCTCTCCTCCGAAACAGATACCACAATCATCGAGCCATCAAATCCAGCAACATCCGACCCAACCAACCCCAAACCCAAAGTAAAACTCACCCGACGCAAACCCCTCCTCTCAACCTACGAACCAGACAAACGCCTCGAATCCTGGCTCAAAGTAAAAAAGGACTACAGCACCTCCTCCGAAACCCTCGACCTAATCCCGATAGCCGGGTGGCACGGCCAAGGCCGCAAAGCGAAATGGTGGTCCCCAATCCTCCTAGCAGTCCGCAACCCAGAAACCGGCTCCCTAGAAGCCGTAACGAAATGCATGTCCGGGTTCACGGACAAATTCTACCAGAGCAACAAGGAAAAGTACGCGCAGGGCAGCACAAATGTCATCTCGCGTCCTAGCTACGTCGAGTACCACGGCGAACCAGATGTGTGGTTTGAGCCGTGCGAGGTGTGGGAAATGGCTTTCGCGGATATCACGCTCAGTCCTACGTATCCGGCTGCTATTGGGCTGGTTAGCGAGGAGCGCGGGTTAAGTCTACGCTTCCCGCGGTTTATCGGTGTTCGTGAGGATAAGTCTATTGATGAAGCTACCTCGTCGGATTATCTGGCGTTGCTGTGGCGGAAGCAGATGGAGCGGACTGCGGAGGTTCGGGGTGTTGGGGAGGTTATTCAAGAGGAGGGAATGGAGTAGATGAGCTTATTTGCCTATTCATATAAACGAGTTCATGTGAATTGCCTTTTTTCGTAGAGAGATCTCCTATGATCCTATAATATCGGAGATATATACATCCCAACATCCCCCTCACTCCGTAAGTGTAGACTATTCTAAATGGTATATTTCCCTTTAAAATAGTTTGTGTCGACATGGCCGTGTAAACCAATTGGATATCTTCTTTTCTACTCGCTCTAATAACCTCCGTGCTAGTGGCGAAATCCAAGCAAAATAGGCTTCAGATGACATCACATTTGACTTTCAGTCTCCTGGCCTCTGATTGGCTGACCCAAAAGCTTCTTAATCTGCGACGCGAAAGTGACGCGAAAAGACGCGACCGGATTGGACGTGAAAATGAGGGGTTGACTACGTGGTCCAAGGAAAATAGTCGCTTCCAGGCGATCACAGATAGGGAAGTCTTTGTTGAGCTGAGATGCTATGCCGCTCTAGGGCGATCTAAATTAAGAGATGTGTAGTGAGGTTTAGGTGTCGTGGTAAATAAGCATTGGACCTCATTTCTCGAGGCAGAACATATTCCATTCATCCTGTGTCTCCTTATATCAACAGAGATATTAAACAGTCTCATCAAGGGCATGGTGGTAAAAAAAAAAAGGTAGAGTGAACAGTGAAATTGCCAACCGACGGCAGACAATGACATAGAAAAAGTAAGACATATGTCTTGATGAAGGGGAGGGTAATGAAAGACATAATAGCAAAGCATTTGAAAAGACAACGCCTGTGGATGCAAGTCCGGGTAGACCTTCCCAATCGAGAATCATGTCTGTCTTCGAGACAGCAAGCCTGTACACTGGGGGAAGAGTGCAAATTACATAGGGGATGAACACAATGTGTATACAACATTATCATAACAAAGTCGTCAGTGGGGTTTAAGAGGGAGGTAGGGCAAAAATGAACAGAGAAAAGAAGATGTAAGGACATTGGGCATCATGGGTGCAGTTCGCCGCCGAGTTGTAACGCCAGCCCCGTTTCCTTGCTACGGAGTCGAGGACTGGAGTTGCTTGGAGGAACCAGGGCATCGAAGTTCAATCGCTTTCTGCTGCTGGTGAGCGGAGTGCGAGCAGGGTTGCCTGGGGTACGGCTACTCCAGGTTGGCTGCGCCGGGCTCGGAGTCACATTCACGAAATCAGCGAAATTGAATTGCTGATTGGGTGTGCTGATGTTGGCAAACATGCCGGCGCCCAGTGTAGGTGTCATGCCTGGCAGCAGCGCGTGCTGGCTGGGAGGAGTGGAAGGTGGGAAGGCCAGGTTTCCGTTGCCCCTTGCAACCCGAGCAGGGGTCGGAGAGTTGGCGAGGTACAAGAGCAAATCCGCACCATCCTCGTGGTTCTGAGGTTGGTTGTTTCGGGACAATCGCATATGTTTTGGGGGAGGGGTTCGTGGAGGAGAGGAGCCTATGACGGAGCTGATGTGTTGGAAACTGTGTACAGGCAGATCGGGATCGATCTCTTCTGACGGTCTGGGGTATACAGGCGATGACACCTCCGGGATTATAGCCTCGGACATGAAGGGGAGTTGTGTGCGTCGGCTCGGACGGTGTCGGTTCATGCCTGGAGAGGATTCCGGCAGCCGGTGAGAACTCTTCCACGAGACCCGGTGTACCTTGGCAGGACGCTCGGAATCAGAGTCAGAGCGTAAGCGCTTTCGACTCGCGGTCAGCATCGGCTGCATGACTCGAGAGTTGAAGGTGGCAGCATGTTTGTTGCGGGCGGATCGAGGGAGCTCTTTGGAGTAGGTAGAGGCTTGGAGGGGAGGAGAGGTGAATGGGGTCTCGCAACGACTGCGTGAGAACTCGGATGAAGAGTCGGAAGGCTTGTCGGTCTCGAGAACTGGTCTGCCATCGTGCTGGTGTGGGTTCAGGCCATGCAATCGACCGTGTTGGTACTTGAGTTTGGCAAGGCCCAAGCGATCCTGCAGACTGAGAGAAACCTGTGCGAAGAGAATCCAGGGTCAGTCCCACATCACCAACGATATCATTTGGAAGCATTCAGATGCAGTGGCAAGTATTTAGACTAGTAGCCGAGACTGCATCTCAAGGGATGCGGAGCCTCTTTTTTTTCATCGCTTACCTGGGCGATATCGATTTTGCGGATCGTTTTTTCTGCCGAGCCCGGCTGTGAGGGAGACATTGTGTAAGGAACCCAATCGAAATAAGCAAACTAAACAAGACACCCCTATGCAAGAAAAAAAGAAGACGTTTCAAAGGGAGTGTCGATGTTGGGGTTTGGGGGGAGTAAGGGCGAAAGGGAAGGGTGAGAGATTGGCGAATTACGGGAACTCGGAGAACAAATCTGGAGAAGCACTTGAACAGATTGGGATGGAAAGATGAAAGAAACCCATTTTTATTCGC